TGTCTAGGAGTCCAATTTTTATATCCACCATATTCGACCCGTCATCTTAAATTTTTAAAATCTAACTGCAGATTCGTAATCAGCGACTTTTAATATAGTTAAAACCTTGGCATTATTAATTTTCTATGATCGTTTAAGATTAAATTCTTTCTGTGATCAATTTTTCCTGCACCCCTAAACACAAATACACCCCCTGCTTTAAGGGTGCACGCGATCAATTCGGCATAGGGCTCATTCGAAAGGGCACGGTTTAGCCTTTAATTTCTGATATATGCAAAATTTGTACCACGTCAGGGTTCAGCTCTATAATTTTTCGAAAATGGCCAAAAACGCTGTTTTTAGGGGTTTCAACCCCTTTTTTCTCGAAAACGTGACGTGATGGGACATTTTTGACCCCGGATTCGTGTTCAGCACGAAAAATCCGTTCAGAAACACCAGGTCCCGTCTTATTCGCAGAAAAAAAGTTGAAATTTGTAGACCAGTGTTATTCAACAAACGTTTCTGAGCCGGTAAAATGTTCGTGTGGCCTATCGTTCGATATAGATAACAAGGCTGTAAGTCCTAAAGCAGACAAGAAACCTTTGTTTTGGGCTGCCAGACCACTTCAGCGTTTCCAGGCAGAGCCCAGATCTCTAAAAGTGGCTATAATTTGGATTATGGACTATTTTCTTAATCTGCTTCTCTGATAGGCAATTCGCTACAAAATTTACCACCCAAGTAGAGTTAATTCCAGATCATGAAAAAATAACAGATAATTGCGTGGCGGGCGAACCCGCGGGTAATGAAATCTACATTTTTGACTACAGCTCCTCACAAACACACCTTTTCGAGAAGGGAAATAAAAGATGGTTGACAGAACTAATTTTTAGGATGACGCAAAAATTCGGGTCCAGCTTTGACACGAAAACGTTCGACTGCCTGGTGGACCCAAACGCTACGAATGAAGATAGCTACCTGAACCTAACCTAACTACTTCACCCAACTACGACAGTCTTGGAGCCCTCTATTCATCCGGGAAAAGTCAGCTAGTATCATTGTCGCATTACACCCTTTTATACCGTACTTGCAGGCATATACATTTTCATATTATTATTCTCCTGATTACCATACATACATATAGATATATATGTAAATAAGATATATTTTTATGGCCTTATTCATAAAAAATAAAGTAGGTTTAAAGAGCTTTATAAATTGACGTTTTCATACATTTTTCAATTTATAAACCTTTTATAAGGCTACTTTATTTTTTATGAATAAGGCCATTAGTCTTTAAATTTAATAATAATTTTAAATTATAAGCGCGTTTCCATGTAAGACCTAAATTCCAAGTCGTCCACTTAGCGGTCACTTAAGAATGCGGGCAAGCGAAATAAAAGTTACATTGAGAAGTCCACAAAATCTACATACAAACAAACGTAAGTACATATATTTTTTTTTATTTCGAAACTCAACTTTTGTGCAGCTTTGAGAGTTTCTATTTGTATTCCACTTAACCATATTATTATAAGTATTCTTTTTTTTGCCAAATTCTTCAAAAACAATATTCAAAACAAGCGCCCAAAGCACATCCCAATAGCCACAATCACACCAAATTAATAGCACCCAGCGAAAAAAGCACGTTTCGAGGTGTTTTTTTATTGCTTTTTCCCTAACGCCACCTCTAGTTAGGTGGGACTTACATAAGTATGTACGTATGTTTGTATGAACATAAATAGATTTCAAAGCATACAATAGAATTTTATGAAAAAAGAAAAAAACCTAGCAAAAATAGCGTTAAACAAACAAATAACAGTAAACGGTAATGGACGCAAGCAAAAACACAGGGAAAAGTATGTACAACCAACCATACGTGGTATATACACGTACATACGTGGTGGTAGATATATGGCTGTGTCTGTAAGTGTCTGTGTCTGTGAGTCTGTAAGTTTTTCACATATGAAAATATTTATAAACTTAAGGTGAGCTTATTTAACTTACAGTACCAGGTTGACCGAGCTTTGTCCGGAGTGCATATACTCATCGGCGTAGCCAGAATGAAATTTAGAGGGGGGGGAAGGGGGCGGGGGGCTCGACCCTATTAAGCTGGCATTTCAGGGTACTGTTTTATATATATATAAGGGAAATTTGAAAATTATTTGGGGGGGGGCTCGAGCAACCCCTGCACCTACCTGGCCACGCCCATGCATATACTTTTTAAAGTTTCCAAGGTTTGGATATCAAATACTTGTCATTTGGAGAAGTAAATTTCTTACTCTAAAATTTAGGTGGCAACCCTATTCCGAAATACGCTGGATTGAATAGTGCATATCTTGAGCGTATATGTACTATGTATACGTATAAAGAAATGCTGATTGAAATTAACAAAATACAAATTTTCATGTGCCGGTACAAGAACCGGTTCATGAGTATCCTTGAACCGCGGTTCGGTTCGGTTCAAATGGTTCAATTTTTTTATGCTAAAAGATACAAATATTGCAAAAAAAGTTACAAATATTGCAAAAAATACAAATCCGAAATATAAAAAATAAAAGACTTTGTTACTGAGATCAAATTCAAATATCTACATGTGTAGTAGTTTTGCTTTTGTTTATTTAAAGTTTATTTTCGTTTTTAACCATGTATGTAAATCCAAGTTTCATACTTTATGCAAAAACTATGAAAATTCTGCGAAGTTTCGTCTAATTTGCAAATTTTTTAATAATAATTTTTAAGTTTTATTTTATATGTATTTTCTTAAATACAACGTATGTGGGATCTTTTTTTTTGTTTTGTATGGAAGCAAATGCGTAAAACCCTAAACAAAACCAAATTATTTAAAATCACCGCAATCAAGACAGCAAGACAAAAACAGCATAATCAGAATTTTGAACTTACACTCAAAATGTTGGCTTAATGTTGAAATTCTCATTTTTGGAGCTTAAACTAGCCTTAACTTTATATGTTGGTACAGGTATTTATACCTATGGTGAAAATAATATGTAGGAGTGCGACGTTTGACTAATTTTATTTTGTTGGTTTAATGTTCATTTATTTTTTATAAAAGTATCGCTCGTTATATAACGACAACCATATAAATCCCAATTTAGAACTTTGTACGAAAATTATAAAATATCTATAATTGCAACAAAATTGAATCAAGGTACAACATTTTTTAATCAGAGCTAAAAAGATCGAATTATTAAGTTTAATGTGTTAAGTTCAAGTTTGAGTTATTATAAAATTCGTATTGATTTTTGATTTTTTTTTTTTTTTGCTGGCGTGCTTAAGTATTTTGTTTCATATAAAAACATTTCAATCATTCTTTACCGGGGCGACCCACGTAAATAGTTGGCTTGAAAGAAAAAAATTTCCAGTCTTACCTTACGGGTTGCATTTATAGACAAAGATGTGTATTACAAAACATGAAAAATGCTATAGAGGATTTTCATTTTGAACCGAACCATTTTCTGGGGTGGTTTTCGATCCGGTTTTGTCATTTCCAAATAAAAATGGTTCGCTTCATGGTTCGGCACTAAAAAAAAGCGACGGTTTGGTTCAAAAACCGGTTCGGTTCAAAACTGGTTTACAGCCCGGAAAAAAACACAGTACTTCATGTGGAAGAAAATGCTTAGCAAGGTCGGCAAAATAAAACTAACGAATTTTAAGACTGTTAAACCTTTTACATTTTTATACAAAAACTGAATGGGCTATAAAACTGCATACTCGAAACTTTTTCTTAAATCCTAATTAAAACGTATTATTGCAGGTTTTGATGAAGGTTTGCAAAGTTCCTCTAAGTTTCGTAAAACGTTTGATACTTAGGTATATATAGTGATAAAAAAATTGAAAAAAAAATTTATATGCAAACTATTGTGAATATTAAAAAAATCATCAAAAAAATACTCAATTTTGTAAGTGAATGTAATTAATTTAATAAAAATTTTAATTGAAATGGAAATGGAAATGTGTAGAAAAATTTGCTTCTTATATATGTATTCTGTATTGAATTTTAGTTGTATCTATGAAAAAATTTAATTATAAGTTTTATTTTAACACGTAAGAAAATGTGAATATTTTCCCTAGTGCGCCCTCCGGCTAATGTTTTAGGTAAAAGACAAGTCCAGGTATAGATTCCTTAGACCAAAAACCCCTTATAGCATGTTTTTATACAAAATTTAGGCAGTTCTTTACGGCACTACAGCAAATGCTAAGTAAAAGAAACCTACTTTTGCAATTTGGCAAACTCCAAATAGATTTAAAACCCATGGTTTCTTCAGAAAATTTGCTGAAAATTACAGCAAGAATCCTCCTATGCTATACGCGCATAGTCGAAAAGATCTCCCATACAAATTGACCCGCGCTAACGTACACCGCATATTTACATACATATGTATGTTTATTATATGTATATTCATATCGTCGTTTAAAGTACAAAACCGCGTATGTGAGGTTGGCCAAATTTTGCAGTAGAGAGTAAAAACTGTTTTATTTCAAAACGAAATATTTTGGCGGAAGTCTGAAAATATACAAACGTTTACAATTTCTTTGCAAAACCAGTACCGAGTTTTTTTGTATGAATAGTGATGCATCCTAATGTACTTCAATAGTACCTTTCGCGCTAATCTTTTAGGCGTGTATCGCTCAATAGTTGAATGAACGTGTTGACCAAAAAAAAGCGAATAATCGCGTAGCTATATATGCATGTGTGTATGTATGCATATAAAAAAGCTACTGTAAAATAGATATGTTTAAACAAACTATGCAAAAGTGCTGGACGGTGGGCTGACATTAGCCATTTGGTGGCTTTACAGCTGAACGCCACAAGCAAATGTACTTCGGATTTCAATTGCTTATTATTCGGCTTAACAACAAATAAATATTGACTTATCATCGTACATTTTATACAAACGTACATTCATATGTACATACATAGAGACAAACAACAGCGAATAGCATTAATAAATATGCAGCTTTCCATACATACATAAATATAAGGCTATTGGATAATTGAAACTCACCTTTTGGCATGCCACACGGTCCCTTCGTACGTGAATTATCCAAAAAGTCCAAATCGTATTTGCGCGCAGGTGGATAAGTGAGCGCCACATGTGCCTCGCCCAGCTGCAGTTGGCAGCAAATATGCAGGCATAAATATAATGTCGCCGCAGTAAGAAATATGGCTGGCGTTTTTGCTGATGACCGACGAGGTGGTGTGGCTGCAACGCCTGCTAACTTATGGCGTTGCCGGCGGCGATTGTTGTTATGCGCCGCATTCATGGTTGCGGTTGCTGTTGCTGTTGCCGCCTAGACTTATGTATGGATGTATGTATGTAGGTTTTGCTGTTTTATGGTTACTTGGTTATTATGAAACTTGTAGATAAATATTTTTCAATAAAATTTTTACACACGCTGGCTCGCGAATTTTTCACAACTTTTATATATTTTTTTAATAATTTTTTTTTTTTTTTACTTTTTTAAGTAAAAAATTTCACTGCCCGTATGAGCTATGCGTGCACATACATACGTATATCTACTACTTTTTCACTAAAAATTCACTTATTTTATGTACATATTTTAAAACTTTTGTTTACGCGCAGCCATAGGTGAACCTGTAATTAAATAATTTTTACAATACTTTTAATTTTTTATTAACACTTTTACGCTGATTGCATTTCGTTTACTGTAGGTTACGTGTATCATGCGCTGGCGTGCGGTGTCACGTTCACGTGCTCATTTCATTTGCATCTCAGCTACTCGAAAACAAAAAAAAAACAAAAAATAAAAAATAAACACAAAAATTTCATTTACAGCGGAACGGGTTATTTCGCGCTTCACTTGCTCGCTTCTTTCCTGCTGCATGAACAAGTATCTATGTATGTGTATGCATTAAAAAATTAAGTTATATTTTGTTGGAAACACTTAATAGTTAGCAGTGCATGTTTTTCTTTTCTTTTTCTTTTTTAATGTTACGATGATATGTGATACCTTCTGCGCTTTCATTAACACTTTACTTCATTTAATTTATTTTATTTTTTTTTTTATTGCATTTTGCCCGTTTTTGCTATTACTATTTATAAAACACTTCCAGCTGTTTGCCTTCATTTGAAGCGTGTCTTTTTTATTTTGATTCATTGGCTTCTGTATTTATCACATTCAGCTGTTGATCTGTAAAGATAAAAGATAAAATACCGTTTTAACAATTTTGTTTATGTAGCAACAAACAACTTGTCTTAAATATTGTAATTTAATATGATGTGTACTTGAGTTAACTTATTAAATGCAAGTGTTTGTTTTGATAGGTGAAAACATAAGAAAATTATAACTGAATATTTTTCACAACATTTTCGTTTTATTATAACAATTTAGTTAACTTATTTATTATTCGTTTATAAGTTATTATACTCTGTCAAACCTATTTTTGAATAGTTCTTAATTATACTATTTGCCAAAATTTTTCGCTTGATATCTTTCACTCATGGACAGAACTTCCCCGATGTGAGTGCCCAACGTGAGGGACCGCCGAAAGGAAGCGCATCCCCCTAACTGGACTCCAGCCATCTCATCACCCAATAAGACATAACGTTGAGATAACGTTGACAGTGTTACCAAATAGGCCCGTCATTTCTGTACAAACTCGGCTTACATTATTTTGGAACCTATTGCTTTCACAGACATTTGGCTATCGCAAAATACAGGGACTTTTTTGAGTACAACCATACTATTAGGTAGAAGACTAGCTGCTTTCTCTATTGCATAAATTTCAACTGCTCGAAGCAGATGAAAAGGCTGACTGACCAGCAGGTCTTCTTAGTAGGAACCGAAACTGTTCCTTGTTGTTGTTCTTTGAACAATTAGTGTAGATGGTTTTAACACCATTTCCTGTTGATAGGCCTTCACATAGATAAAAAGATCGATATACTTACGCAACTAGGGGGCAAATATATTAATTGATATGCCATGACATACATGTAAATACGCTTCGGAAAAATTTCTTATCAAAAAGGGAAAAAAGAAACTTAAAAAATGCTTCTAAACGATAACTATACCGCACACAAAAAAAATGGTATGTGCTTTAACCATTTCCACCTACTGACATGTATTTTGACCCACTAAATCCGAATATGAAAAAAATGGAAAAAAATTCACTTTTTTATTATGAATCAAGCTTAAAGATGCTTAAAGGACTTACCGTTGATTAATGGCGATTTTTTTCCAGCGTATGCACATTTTTTTTTCTAAAAAAAAAAATATAATGATAATTGCCAAAAATGTATGCTAAGTGCCAGCATCTTTAAAATACACCTTATACTATTTTTTTTTTTAAACATCCGTATTTTTAATAAATATGTGTGCGTAAGCTTTATTAGGCTAGTGTATGTATAGATAATACCCTTTTTTAAAATAGCGGTTAAGTTTTAAGTAAAACATAAAAAAATAAAAAAAATTAAATTTATTTTATTTGAGTAAATTGGACTAAGAATTTATAAAGTTTCTGTTGAATGCATATATTTTAAAAAGAGAACCTTATCTCTATTTTTTTTTTTTTCAAAGTAATTACAGATGGTTAGCTACCCATCCGATATGGCGTACTCGCAAGCCCTGTAAACTATGATTGGTGCCATACTATAATGCCAGACCAATAACCATAATAGTAGGTATCCATTTAATTTTAATTTTTAGCCATAACCATAAGCAGCTCTGAAATATTTAGCTACGTTATGGCTAAGGCGTTATTGTTATGACACCTCTAATTTGGTCTTAAATCTGGAGATTTCAGCCGTTACGGACAATGTAGACTTTGAAACTTACATATATACAATAAATGTTTGTGAATTTAGTGCTGACCTGATCGCAGTGTTTTTTTTTATAAAAATCAAGTAAAAGGCGTTATTTGAAAAAAATATATTTCTTACGATTTTTTCCTCTTATGTACAATCCTAAATGGTGTGACCATTAAAACACCGCCTTATTTATTTCACGTGCATTTTTACACTACTCTATTGTACATAAATAAGTACGGTATCAGTCATATCTATAGAACGCCATTTCAAAGTAAAGTTGTTTGCAACTTATTTTTATTTACTTATTTTTAAGTATTTTCAGTTAAAATGCAGTTAATTCTCTTACAAAACTTTTATAAACCCAAATTTAAAACTTTGTTGAAAACTACAAAAGGCAGCAAATTTTCACCTAAATTTCAATTTTTTCTCTAAGAAGTGTTAGTTTTTTTTTGTAGAACACAGTTTTATAGCCCATTAAGTTCATTATGATAACGTGCAAGTTTCAAGTGGCTTAAAATTGACGTTAATTTCAATTTTTTCTGTCGCATTTGCTTCCATATAACGAAAACCGCAACACCTTCGGCACAAAAAATTCTAAAAAACTAACGGTAATTTTTAGCCACTTGAAATTCGTACATTATCAGAATAAAATTTAATGGGCAATAAAGTGGTGTACTCAAAAAAATTCTAACACTTCTGAAAAAAAAAAGTTTGAGTTTTTAAATTTTTTATTTTTAGTTTTCTAAAAAGTTTTAAACTAGGATTTATATGGAACTGTATTTTAATTGAAAATTCGTAAAAATAAATAACTAAAAATAAGTGGCTAACAATATCACTTTCAAATGGTGCGCTATAGATATGACCGATGCTGTATATTGCCTTCGAATTTCTTAGCCTTTTAGCTCAAATTTCCATAGCACCTGCCAAAATACATAAATCAACACAGTCATAATCTCAATCAATCTCTCATATCCGCAATGACAATTATGAGCAACAATATTTTTTACTGTCTTAAAAGTAGTACAAAATGGTATTAAATAGCTACACGCCGAAGTATGACACTGTCTGAGCACTGTTCAAACGCCCACTCAATATTCATTCATCAGAGATCTCAATGAAAAAAATTCAATTGGACTACAAATAAATACAACAAATATTTCAGGTGTTTAAACTGCTAGCCTTCGCTTTTTATTTTGTCACAAGTTCGTGTTATGTTAGTTAATAAAGAAGTGTGTATTGTATGTAGTAGTTTGGCTACATATTTATTTAGTGTACTTACTATTGTAAAACAAAATTGTTGACAGTCTGGCGGTGGCGGTGACAGCGATTAAAGTAATTGTTTTCCGCACCCATTGACGGCTAAGTGCGATTTTTGTTCTGCACTCTAAAAAAAAATGGTCGGCAAATCCGAAAATGCAAATATGTAAGAACACATAGTACATACATATGTACATATTTGTAACTGTAATTGAAAATTCTTTTGATGGACCTTAAACGTAAGTATCTCTTTGCTATGTACAGTGTGTCGTGTGGAACAAGCTTGGTGTACTAAATTCATTTCCGGGTTTCTAGAAAAAGGTAAATTTTTAAACATTAACACTCACACAAACATAAAGGATATCCCAAAAGCCCTGCCTGAAGACTTTTTGTGCGTCCTTCATTCAAATGTGTGGTGCGACAGTGTTTAGAAATAAATTAATATTCTTACTGAAACTCAAAAATTTTTTTTTGATTTCCAATACTTAAAAAAAATTACTGAGGGATGTCAAAAATTAAGCCGATGCGTTATTGCCTCGCGGTTTTTGTTTTTGTTAATAATTTCATAAGTGTTTACTAAAACCATAGTTTCTTTCATATCTAATCAATTATTGCAATTTTTGGGTTATGATTGTTTAATACTTTTTTCTTTGTCTCGAAAATCAGTCAAATTTTATGCCCATAAACATTAAGTTGCTCTTTGTAACTTTGTGTATTAATCACATTGAATTTTCAATAAAATTTAAGCCACAGAATTTTTTTGGTTTTTATGACACCAAGTTTCTCACGGCTCTTAAGTAGCATTTAAAATTTTTTTATGCAACAATCAAAAATTCATAAACTTTACTCATTAAGTTCAACACAATTAAAAGAGGTGCATACCGATGTATGTATGTATGTACATATGTACGAGTAGGTATAAAGGCTTAGGTGTGATGCTCGATTCATAATTCATGTACGAGTTTCAGTAGCGCACTAGTAAGGTGGTTGATTCGGTTTTTGAAAACCGAGTACAACGAGTTTTTTTTTTTTGAACATTTTTCGGCGGATGTTTTAAATCTTGATTTTTTGAATACCGAGTAAACTAGATTTTTGCAATCGAACAAACCGAGGTTTTATTTATATAACAGAATCTAAAAATTCTAAATATTTATTTCATTTAATATGAAACTAGAACATTTCTTTTAATTTTTATCTATAGATATTTATAAATACTGGAAAAATTTTTATTTTAGAAAATATTTAAAACAAGTAATTAAAAAAACATTTTTTAAGAGAAGCTTTTGTTAGTTCTTAAAAGAAAAGAAAAATTGTTTGTGAAGTTATTCCTTTTCATGTAAATCCATCGGACCATAAATAAGTAGTTTTCAAATACATACAGTGACTCAAACAAATGACCACGTGTTGATTCTTTTTAAATATTTGTAATGTTTTTTAAGCTAAATTTTTTTGTTATTTTTCTATAAAAAATACCGTCAAAGCTTCAACCAAAACCAAATTAATCACAGTTTCAAACTGTATACAAAATGTGGGAAAATACAACTATTTTTCATTAAAATTTCAACTTTTTTAGTTTGAATGTTTAGAACATTTTTGGGTATGCAGTTTATAGCCCATACAATTTTAGTCAAAAGAAGTGCAAATTTCAACCGGCTAAAAAGTCGCGTTATTTTTGTGCGTTTTTTTTTTTATATAACAATTGCAATTTGCAAAAACTGGTCTTCCGCATTTTACTTCATACAAAATTCATGCTTATACATACATATGGAAAAAAGTGCAAAAATCCGTCACCAAAAAAAAACATCTCAAAACTCAACGGGATTTTTAGCTCTTGAAACTTGCACTTCATTAGACTAAAATTGTATGGGCATACCCAAAAATGTTTTAAAGGTTCACATAAAAAAATGGAATTTTGATGAAAATTTGTTGAATTTTATTTTTTTTATAAAGTTTAAAACTGTGATTTATATGGTTTTGGTTAAAGCTTGAACAAAATTTTTTTTAAGAAAAATAACAAACAAAAATTAACTGGAAAAACATTACGAATATTTAAAAAAATGAACACGTGGTCATTTGTTTGAGTTATTGTATCTGGACATCTGCGCCACCTAGAGGGCTAATTCATCC